TCATATAATTATATATGAAATATCTGTATTTCTCCATTTCGTTAAATTGATATTTTCATTATTGAAAATAACACATTCGAGGTTTCTCTATATTTTGYGACATAATTTGATTTCATATTCGCTACGCTCACTCGCGTGAGAGATCTTTTCAACACTCGAAGATAAAATCCGTATCTCCGCGCGCCCATGTAATATCCTCTATATATGTCAAGAGATGATTTCTCCGGATCTTGATTCTTGTATGAGCTTTATTCAACGAACTCACAATAAAGTTTTCACAAGATATTTTTATGCTATCTGAAACAGTTCAATTTCTTTTTACTTAGCTTTTACAGAAGAAGCAGAATTCCTATTGGTATGATATAGCTAAACCATTACATGCAACCAGCATCGCATGCAACATGGCTACGTAGGGATTAAAAAAAACAATTGCTTAACCCCAGGCAGTCAAAAAAAACTTTTTAAAAAGATATTATTTACTTCTAGCGTAAAGTCCTACAAATCATTTTAAAGAGATAGTTCGATACTAAATAAATTTTCCTATATACATTGCTATAACATTTTAAGAATAATTATNATTTATCGATTGCTGCAGGTGTTCCAAATTTAGCATAATACAGCCGTTTTCTCGTAGATTTAATTTGACAAGTGTCTTGATTTTGGTGAGATTGTGTACTCCTTTGGAAATTTTGTTACATGAAATGTCTAAATAGCGTAAGTATTTGATTTGACCAATGTTTTCAGGAATTGTTTCAATGTTGTTGTGAGACAGATCTAACTTGACTAAAGACTCCATTTTTAGAATAACGTCTGGAACAACAGTTAAGCCACACTGTACTAGAGATAATGAGACTATCGACGTCCAAAAGGTATTATGTCGCAAGTCGGCTTTCTGCAAATTGCAGTTCTCCAGTCTTAGGAATTTGAGTTCTTCCATTTTGAAGATAGTTTCCGGAATACCATCTTGTAGGTTAAAAAGCTGTAAAGCTCGACCATCGTCTTCAGCAATTTTCTTTAACCTTTTCAAAGGCCATTCGTTTATCAATATCTGATCTTTTATCTTCTTTTCGGTCTCCTTAGATATGAATTGGATAAATCTTTGATAATGCAACTTACTGCACTTTTTCAGCAGACAAAGAAGAAATAGCAGGTCTCCTTTTGCAGAATGATTCTCGTTTGATTGGTGATTGGATTTTGAAGGAGTCCAAAAGCAAAAAGTTAAATTGCAAAAAGAAAAAATGATATATAATCCAATCAAAATACAAAATGTTATGTTTGTAACTTCCAAATAGGAAACTATGCCATTAGTGCATTTAAAATAGCTGTAGTCTTGATCTATAATATCATCAATTTTACACATTATATTATCATTATTGAGTGCACCGTGGTAACAGATGTTGATAACTAAAGTAGTGACGAACGCAATAATGAATTGTACCAGTACTTGAAAAAGATGTATCCAAAATATTTTTCTAATAGACTGGATGCAAACTATTTTTTTAATACAGGGTAAACAATATATTTTTTTCTTTTTTTCGGTATCTTTTCCAAATTGACAAACTTTTTCATAAAGTGCCTTAGCTTTGATACATTCCATTTTATCAAGGGACGCAGACGTTGATGTATTCTGAGTCTCAGAAGTGTCACCACTACGGCTTTCATTATCTTCATTTTCTTCATGCATGTTTCCTTTACTTAGAGCAATCACGAGAGCTGAACTTGTCCACGTCATATTATAACATTCAATGACCAATGACACGAACTGATCTATGATTGAAGCTGTCCCCGGGTACTTTAACCAAAAGTTTTGAACAACAATAAGAATAATTGCCTCGAGGAAAATTATAAACGGAAAGTAAGCTACAAACCAGTGAACCGCCGTGCGACCACACACTGTCTCAACGTAATCGTACAGCCGTCTGTCTGGTAATTTCAGCAGCATTGTCGACTTGCTACCTGGATGTATACATTAAAATTATGATAGTTGAGTTGACGGTTTTGGCCGCCATTTTGTTTGGGTAGGCAAAATCTCGCAAAATAACAAGGATACGGTGTGAAATCGATGTCAAATAATTCCAGTTGAATTACTATTCTGAAAGAATCATTAATTTCAAACGTTAGATGTACGAAAAAAAGTTAACTGGCGAGTTTTGAAGAAATTAGTTGATCTAGGGTGCGAGTGAAGTGATTTTTAGTTYCCCATACATTTCTTTGTATTTTTCACGCGCGTCACGCGCCGATGACCCAAGAAATTACTTGTTATTTTGCGAGACTTTGCCTACCTAAACAAAATGGTTAAAAACCGTCACTTGATCTATTAGCAAATACGGTATGCCACAAAAAAATCATCTCTATTTGATTTCACTAATTTCCGCGATTACCTTGACAAACGCCGCTGTGATTAAAGCTCTGATTATGGCTTAAGCTACAGTCAATAGCAGGGACGCAGACCAGGTCGCTCTGTGTAGCTTGCATTACCCCTGCTAGTACGGCCATCATCAACAAGGCTGTAGCAATGTAATCAGTAAAGGTATCCCACCAAGGCTTGATGAATTTATGGTCAGGGTTGATTACTTGAAAGCGCTGTAGCTGGTCAACTGGAAACATTGTGCAATACTGACTTAAATCTGTAAAAAGAAGCGGTTGTAATATCAGTCTTAAACCTGCAAAGGAGGGGAGGAAGCAGCCTYTTTTTGGAAACAGAAAGAGAAGCCAGTTGGAAAAATTACTGCTTTATCAGTACAGTGATAATTCATATTTGCGGACGTTTTTAGAGAAATAAGGAGAAGTTTTGACACTCCCCGAAGTGGCGACGTTATGTGATATGGATGACCACTTTTTCCGTGTTGTTTCACCAAGCTATCACGGGTTAAAATGCKCAGAGAAGCTAGCCTAATATGCACAAACAATCTAAGTAACAATCTATTATAGATAGCAAAGGTCGTACTTACATATTTGTCCCGCTTCGCCTCTAAAAAGCCAAATATTGAACTCGAGTTTTACAAAACGAAGTTTCAAGGTACAAGGTTGCACCCAAAAGAGCAACTACTACTATACTGGCGAAAGGAACGCTAAAACTAGCCTTTTATATGCGCGTCAGGACGCTGAAGGGTCCGATTACGGGGTTAAATAAAACAACAAAAAACAAATGCATTGTAACAGAAACGTAGCCAAGTAAGAACAGTTAATTGATTAAGTCAATCCAACTATTAAGGAAGTGTCCTTAACACCAAGAAGTACCCTAAATACACACATAATTTAAGTTTTTACCTTCAGAAGCAATGGATTCTCACTCGTTACCTCTTTGTTAAATCAACAAGTCAAACACTTAGCTCTCTCTTTGTCTTTGTAACTTTATAACAACATATTCACGTGCTATGTTTACTATATATATACAGCCTTTTGCAAAAATTATGAGAATTGTCTAAATATCTAAATATCATAATATCCATATCCATATATTGTCCGGAACATACGGGTTTGCTAGAATAATTCATTGTTGACAGCGAGAAAATGTTCAGAACTACGAATAAGTCTGTCGCCAAAAAAAAAACTAAACTACAAAGACAAGGGACTAAGGGCATCGCGCGGGATTACCCATCATGCACTCGATATTATGTTATTTAGATATTTCGACAATTCTCATAATTTTTGCAAAAGGCTGTATATATATATATATATATATATATTACTTTCCTTACTTTGTATTCATTCTGATGATGGCGTAAGTAACGCCGAAACATGTCAAATACACCACATTTAAAATCGTAATTGTTATTTTAAAATTACTATGCTCATTGCTGATCAAAAGACCTTTTGAATATTTGGTCTAATTATATTTAGATGTTTAAAAAAATGCTTGAATGCTAAATGTACTCCAGTGTTGCGATTGAAATTAATTAAACGCTCAATTAAAGCACAAATACACAAACAGTTCGCGATCGACAATGAATGACATCATCGTATTTAAAAAAAGTAATTACTCTTCAAATATTCGTTTAATTCTATAATTACGTTCCACGAAATTTCAGAAGAGTTCATATCAAGTTTCCCGGAATAACTTTGGTTGATATTTGAAGTCGAATGAAGTCAACAAATGGATTCTTACAGTGTATAAATATTAATCAAATTGAAACATGAATGGTCAGAGTGCTTGGAGACATCTCCAGACGCTGTTGAGCAATCGTGATCATAGTGATGAAAATAATATTTCACTGAATCTTTTTAAAGAGTTGGAGGGGCTGGATACTCGATCTAGAACACGTGGTTCTATCGCTCGATTGCGGAATAAGAACCGGTTGTTCGACTGACTACGCCAGGATTTAGTATACCAAGAGCTACCCTAAAAACACATGATTCAAGTTTTTACCTTCAAAAGCAATGGATTCTCACGTTGCCTCTTTATCAAGCTCGTAGTTTCCCTTTAACAGCTCTTCCACGAATTGAAGCAATCCAGACAATGTGTAGTCTCCTCGCAGCCGTTCTTAGTGGCGGGCTTCCTGTCCCCCGCCCCACAAACGGCTGCTACAATCCGAGCTTTGATCGTTTCCCTTTGTCTTTTTCCTTCTTGGGGGTATATTTGAATTAACCAATCACATTCCATGACAGTCTACTCCCGCTGTTACCGCTAAACCAATGAGATGCAGCGTAATGAAAGTTGATATTTTGTTTGCGCCAAACTTCGTAAAACCGTTAAAACTCATCCGAATATATCAAGAAATCAGTCAAATCGATGTTTTACTTGTTCTTCCCTGCCGGTTAGCAAAGATAAGTTTTACATCTTTGGGAAAACAAGCACAGATAAAAATAAAATTATATCATTTAAAATTATAAAAGATTCTTTGCAAGTTTACGTAACCACGATGCAGATTTGTTTGTCTGTGGTAGACAATGTTTTCAAAGCTTGAATAATACGATCGCGCTTCAAAGAAACTAGAAGAAACACGGAAAGAGCTTGATCAGTCTTTTGATCAAGAGAAACGACCACGAGCAATAGTCTCAAGGGAATATGACGGAAGTCAGAGTGCCACATGTCAACACCAAGTGCTGCGAAGTGTCCTGGATGTTTCGTTGAATCATCGAGAACTTTTTACTTAAAAGTAAAGCTTGAAAAATTAAAGGATTTACCGAAACCAGTAGGTAAATTAACAAACATATCTCAATTTTCATCTATAAGTTTTGTATTGGGAAGCTTCTGGGGGCAATTTAAGCACGATATCTTGAATTTTTGAGAAGCAAACACAAAACGGGCACAAAACTATCCGCGATCCGCGATCCGCGATGTCACCCGCCAYGTTTAGTATGATCGCACTTATAATACGCGAGTTCCTATTGGTCAATAATTTTGGCGGGAACTGCTGCAAGGAAATGAAAGCCGAACTGTGATTGGAGAAACGATTGAAGCTCGGATTGAAGCAGCCGTTTGTGGGGCGGGGGACAGGGAGCCCGCCACTAAGAACGGCTGCGAGGAGACTAGACAATGTGACCTTTAGTCGGAGTCTGTGTCTAAACATAGATGATTACGTAGTATACCCATGCCTAATGTAACCAAAATTCCACAGGTAACCCAAACTATGAATTGCGCATGTAGCTTTCAAACTTTGTATAGCATTTTAAAAAAATGACATATAACGCGCGCATTGATTGGCTGACGACCGTGTTTATATCAGAGGACAAAGACACGCACGCCGTTTTATATATTTCTTAAATCAAGTCGTATCTGTTAAATCATCTTTTAACATCTTCTTTATGGAGTTTTAATTTGAAATTCCTTATTACAGGAACTCACTGAGATACGAATTTTCGAAAGTTCAATTTGATTGGACATGAGAAGGAAACAAATATCTCTAGGCGATGATATAATGCTCTATATTTATTATACAGACTTCAATTTCAACAATAACATAAAGAGAACAATTTATACGTAGTATCCACGGTAACGTGTTATTTTAACTTAAATATAACTTTTTCGCGCAAGAGATTTCCTGTTTTTCATTGACGTTTATACTACTATTAATTAATTATCTAGTGTCGAAGATTCTACAAACACCTTTCCTCAAACTCAATAAGGAAATTTTGTACCTAATAATAAAACCAGTCCCCACATTTCGAGTCTAGACTAAACAGTTGGATATCCAGGTTGCCATAGTGACTTTTGTTGTATTTTGTTTTTTTGGGTTTTTATGTTACAGCGTGTACGTTGACCATTGGTCACCATTGATCGTGGACAAAATAGGTTTTATGGGGCTTAGTACATTTCCATTTCAAAATCAAAACAAGATTGAATGCTGCCACGAGGGACGCCAAACAGCTTTTCAGTGAACTGTGATACAAAGACGAACTTCTCTATGTTGAAACCATCAACAAAATATTAAGTCCATACATAAATCTTCGCAGCCCAACAGTTGAATCATTACATTATTTACAATATATGAAGATAGAATTTGAGAAAAAAGCTTTATATAATAATATAAGAAAAATACGATACAGCCTACAGCCTACTGCCATATCCAGACTCTATCTAAGTCGGGGACACACTATAATAATAAGAATAATAACTAATGATGAGAATAATTTAACTTTATTACCGTCTGCATGCAACTTGTTATCGTCAGTACAATGAAGCGAACAGCTATAATCATGCAACTGGGAAAACCCTACACGTGCATCTTGAGAAATGAGCAAACAAGCTGGTTAAATTACACTTCACACCAATAATCAAACTCGAAACTGAGAAGTTTCAGAGTTTTTGATACATTATTAAGCTCAGTAAGTCATGTTTTTGCAGACATGGTCCACCAGCATCCCTTTCGAGCTTTTGCTCATGTTTGAAAATAAAAATATAAGCAAAAACTTAGTAGCGATAGTCCGTAGTAACGAGAGTTACTTTCAGTCATTTTCTTTGTATTTTTTGCCGGGGATTCAGTATTTTATTGTCCGCAATATCGAGGTGTCCGTTATAGCGGGGTGTCCGTAAGACGAGAGTTGACTGTAT